CCCAGTATTGATCCCTGAGGAACTCCTCTTTTTATTTATTGGAGAGTACTCTCTGATCTTCAATACTTGATAACAGATAGGAAATTAGCTTCAGTGCTATTCCTATTATTCCACAGTACCCCATTTTTCTCAACAGTGCATCATAATACATCTAGAAATTTTGTTATTAGGTGCATCCTTCTTGTAAAGGATCGTACTGATTTGTGAGTTGTAATGTATAAAACGCTTTTTGTTTTGTTTATTCAATAATAATTTTCACATCTTTTATTTGATTAGGTAGTTCATTATATGGATATGAATAATAGATGTGGGATTTGGCATTTGTAAAAAGCTGGGTTGAAACAGTTCAAAACGTTCAAATCGTAAGTGGTTTATCTCTGACTTTTATGTTTTGTATTTCAGGTTATGAAGAGAAAGATATTTATGTCTGTGAATCCCGGTATAGTACTAGGTTAAGAAGCTTTAAAAAAATTAAAATATATCCCGAGAATCCAACGTTAAAGTTGGTTCCGAGGGAAGAACCTCTTCAACCGAAGAGGGTTATGTCTGTGTTCCGTGAACGCGTTGAGAAACATAAAGATGAACTCCAAGAGTTGGAAGATTTAGAAAAATTAGAGGAGAGAGATAAACCAGTAAGTTAATTGTATGGTTTATAAGAACAACATTAAAATTTTGCTTTTTTTTTGTAGAATGTTGTGGCTTTTCACAGTATGGACATAGATGATGGAAACACGTACTACGAACAGTTCAACACGATATGTTCCGGGGTGGTTAAAACGGGTGATTATGTATATGTAGTAGCGGAGGGTGGTAAACAAATTATAGCGCAAATCGACAGTATTTGGGAGACCAAGGAGTGAGTTTTTTCAACTGCATTTCTCGTTCCACTTACGTTTTTGAATTGTTTTTTTTCGCAGTGGCAAATGTTACTTTCGGGGGCCATGGTTCATAACGCCTTCGGAAATTCCTCATTCACCGAACAGGTTGTTTTACAAGCAGGAGGTGTTCCTGTCGAGTTTGGAGGACGCCAATCCGATAGTCAGTATTATAGGGAAGTGTTCAGTACTGGAAGTGAACGATTTCATCACATGTGAGTATTTTGAAGTGGCGGGTTGATCAGTTATCTCATAAGCAATGCAATAAAAATTTTTCAAACAATAAGAATGGAAAATTTCAAAAAGTTAAAGTATTCGACACTCTTTTTTTATTTTACAACATCTTTGTTCATGAATAAATGTGAAATTGAATTTTTTTCAATTTTTACAGCAGTCTTCAAATAATAGATTCAATTTTGAAAATTGTTGAATTTTTTTATGTAAATATTCAACGAGAGCATAATTGTGAAGAAATATGTTATAAATAAAATTTGAATGAAAGTTACGATCTTGCAATAAAAATTTATATCTTGTAGTCATATTTGGACTTTTTTGTTAGAGGAATAAGTATTTAAATATGAACCTGTGATGCCTTTTTCCTGTCTCATAAGTATTTTATAGTTCTGGGTTTGGGACACGAGGTCTCTGTTGAATATTTAGAAATATTGATATTTATTGATACCATATGTTTCGAACTGAAAATATGTGAATGCATAATTAAAATAATTGCATTCAGTTGCATAATTGCATTCTTCTTTTACACGCTTTTATTAAAATTCTTGAGCTTTTTCAATTATATTAGTCTTTTTTCAGCTTAAGATGAATTATCATACTTTAAAAAATCAATTGAAAATAATAACCATTTTTAGTAAAAGCTCTAGCTGCTAGACCCTAGCATTTGATTAAAAAGTATAATAATTTATTGGTCATTTTGATGCAGTCGGTAANGGAAATTAGCTTCAGTGCTATTCCTATTATTCCACAGTACCCCATTTTTCTCAACAGTGCATCATAATACATCTACGAATTTTGTTATTAGGTGCATCCTTCTTGTAAAGGATCGTACTGATTTGTGAGTTGTAATGTATAAAACGCTTTTTGTTTTGTTTATTCAATAATAATTTTCACATCTTTTATTTGATTAGGTAGTTCATTATATGGATATGAATAATAGATGTGGGATTTGGCATTTGTAAAAAGCTGGGTTGAAACAGTTCAAAACGTTCAAATCGTAAGTGGTTTATCTCTGACTTTTATGTTTTGTATTTCAGGTTATGAAGAGAAAGATATTTATGTCTGTGAATCCCGGTATAGTACTAGGTTAAGAAGCTTTAAAAAAATTAAAATATATCCCGAGAATCCAACGTTAAAGTTGGTTCCGAGGGAAGAACCTCTTCAACCGAAGAGGGTTATGTCTGTGTTCCGTGAACGCGTTGAGAAACATAAAGATGAACTCCAAGAGTTGGAAGATTTAGAAAAATTAGAGGAGAGAGATAAACCAGTAAGTTTATTGTATGGTTTATAAGAACAACATAAAAATTTTGCTTTTTTTTTGTAGAATGTTGTGGCTTTTCACAGTATGGACATAGATGATGGAAACACGTACTACGAACAGTTCAACACGATATGTTCCGGGGTGGTTAAAACGGGTGATTATGTATATGTAGTAGCGGAGGGTGGTAAACAAATTATAGCGCAAATCGACAGTATTTGGGAGACCAAGGAGTGAGTTTTTTCAACTGCATTTCTCGTTCCACTTACGTTTTTGAATTGTTTTTTTTCGCAGTGGCAAATGTTACTTTCGGGGGCCATGGTTCATAACGCCTTCGGAAATTCCTCATTCACCGAACAGGTTGTTTTACAAGCAGGAGGTGTTCCTGTCGAGTTTGGAGGACGCCAATCCGATAGTCAGTATTATAGGGAAGTGTTCAGTACTGGAAGTGAACGATTTCATCACATGTGAGTATTTTGAAGTGGCGGGTTGATCAGTTATCTCATAAGCAATGCAATAAAAATTTTTCAAACAATAAGAATGGAAAATTTCAAAAAGTTAAAGTATTCGACACTCTTTTTTTATTTTACAACATCTTTGTTCATGAATAAATGTGAAATTGAATTTTTTTCAATTTTTACAGCAGTCTTCAAATAATAGATTCAATTTTGAAAATTGTTGAATTTTTTTATGTAAATATTCAACGAGAGCATAATTGTGAAGAAATATGTTATAAATAAAATTTGAATGAAAGTTACGATCTTGCAATAAAAATTTATATCTTGTAGTCATATTTGGACTTTTTTGTTAGAGGAATAAGTATTTAAATATGAACCTGTGATGCCTTTTTCCTGTCTCATAAGTATTTTATAGTTCTGGGTTTGGGACACGAGGTCTCTGTTGAATATTTAGAAATATTGATATTTATTGATACCATATGTTTCGAACTGAAAATATGTGAATGCATAATTAAAATAATTGCATTCAGTTGCATAATTGCATTCTTCTTTTACACTCTTTTATTAAAATTCTTGAGCTTTTTCAATTATATTAGTCTTTTTTCAGCTTAAGATGAATTATCATACTTTAAAAAATCAATTGAAAATAATAACCATTTTTAGTAAAAGCTCTAGCTGCTAGACCCTAGCATTTGATTAAAAAGTATAATAATTTATTGGTCATTTTGATGCAGTCAGTAAATGTGGTAGGTCAGGCATATAAACACTAAGAAAATAACTCATCAACAAAAAATAATTTGAGGAGAGCTTCAGAATACTTTACAAGTAACAGAACAAAGTATAAATACCCAGCTCTCCGAAAACAAGAGAATGTCGCCTTGGGCATATCGACATGTGGAACATGCACTTTATTTATTTATTTATTTATTTACTTACGGATATACCAATAACAGTAATACACAAAATTAGGATAGCAAACTCTACTTACATCTATTTGAATCTACTAAAATCTAATCTGTAGTCTTGTCGTGCAGTAAATTGTTACAGAGGGTATCCACTAATTGTACAAGCTTACAATGTTTATTTTCT